TGGCTTCATTCTCGATTATTGCGAAATTCGAGATGTTCAAAGGCGCGCAGCAAGCTAGATTATACGGCGACAGAGAGGCGAGGGGCTGGTTCTTTTGATATCGAGACAATATTGTCGATAAAAATGGCCGGATGCCGACGTGTCAACAGGTCGATAAAGGGTTGAAACGCGGGATGGCGCGCGTGTGCCGAGGCAAATATTTGAGCACCCGCACCTTCCTCGTCGCGGGACGCGTCCCTTTTTCGACTCTTGCCGTTCGTAAATATGGATGCCGCTTTGAGGAACGAGACCGAAAGGAGGATTAAAGCGTTCTCCGCCTCCTTCAGCGAACAGAAACGTCTGAAAACAGACCGGCCTCGTGAAACTCTCTGTGAAACTTGGTGAACGCTTGCTTGGAAATCCGAACTGGTATAGCGAGTTGGAAGATTCGAGTATTGTTTGAACAACACATTATGCTGTGTGCCTTGTTCAAACACTATAAGATACAGAATTTTTCAACGTCCAGTAGTAAATCGTGCGGTTTCTGTGCTATACAGTGGTACCTCGGTATACGACCTTAATCCGTTCCTGATGTTTGGACGTATACCAAACCAACTTTTCCCATAAGAAGTAATGTAAAAATGATTAATCCGTTTTCATGTAAAAAGACAACTCCTATTGATATTATACCTACATTAATGGGATTGTAAAATAATTTAAACACTGTTTATGTCGTGAACAGCATTTAAATGATTTCCTAGAAGTTTATAAAAAATATTCACTAGGTTATTTAACATAATTAATTTGTAAAATATAAATGTATCCTAATCCTAATGATAGATTTTAAATGAACAAATGTTTTGCGGCTATAGTTTGTTATATGATATCCTTACTTGTATGATCAGTCAGTTAATAATACATCAACTCCGAATATAATTGATTATTAATTTAATTTTTCCTCTGAGATAATTATTTAAAAATGACGCAAAATTCACACCAAAAGTTGATTTATTTATTTAGCTTCTAAACGGGTGAAACCCTTTTTTATACAGAATATGAGATACGTAGAAATTGCTTACATGTTAATGGTGAAAAAAAACTTAAGCTAATATAAACAGAGGATGCTCGACAGTCAATATACACAAATCTTATCAGCCTAGACAGTATTATAGTAGGTCGATTTTAATTTATGTTGTATTCCGAATTGGACGTATTCTCGAGTTGATTTTGAAAATTATCCCAGGGACTTTTCCAGATAATTATAATAATTGATCATTTTCAATCGAGTTTATCTTTCGCACATTTATTATCGCGAGAATCGAAGGGGCGTCGATCGAAGATAATACTCGAACAGGAGGCAACAAGGACGTGGGCGGAGGGGGGTTGAAAGCGTGGAAAAAAGCACGGAGAAGGATGGGTAGTTCCTTTTATCTCAAAGGGAAGCCTCTGCGGACGACACGTCGGTGACAAAAGAAAGGAACTTGCTCGGTCGGAGTGGCATTCGCGAAAGGGAGAAGAAAAATGGCGAGGGGGGGGGTTGCTTCGACAACGGCTAGATGGGTTGAGGTTGGCGGACTTGAGCCGATAACAATAAGGTGTTAATTAAGCAGCCGGTAGAAGAGGCGGCTCCGGTTAATTCCGGAAGTTGAATGGAAAAAGCGGGATACAAAAGGACCGCGTGCCAGTCCGCTGCCAGGACATCGTTCCGGCTTCTCTCGACCGTTCGTTTGTCTTGCTCCTTTCTTTCCCCGAGTCCTCTCGAATTTTCAATTCAGAGAAATTGTACCGATAGAATCGTTTGATTTGCGGGAAAATTCACGGTGAAGAATCTCCATCGACCAACGAATAAATTGTACACCTATAGATAATAATAAAGGTGTAGTTAAATATTCCAAATATAGTTCATAGGATTAGAATAATTCTAAAATAATCGATGAAAAAGTTAAAGAAAAACACCAAGTATCTGTTTAAGATTCAAGCACCAAAGTTTATTCTTGAATTATTCAGAAGGGAAAATAGAGACGGTGCTTTCAAGATAGGTTTCGAATCGATTCAATTATCAATTGTTCGAAGGCCTGTCGAAGGTGAAATACTCGACAACTGGGAGTACGGCGGTATCAGGCGGTGAAACGAAGCGCTCACCAGCGAAACTAATCCTCTTTTCGACGATTTTACCCGGAAGCTGGGAAACAAAACCGGTGGATCAATGGCGGACGATGTAACACGACGATCGATTCGGCGATTTCAATGCGTGCACTTGCCGTAATCCGGTTGTTCCAGCTCGAAACGGAATTAATAGCACGGAATAAAATGTTCCGGCGATAGCCACAAAAGACAGCAGACCGCAACCGGAAATCGATGTGTAATTAGATAGTAACCATTCTATTGGGGATGGCCATCGATCATGCGGTTTCGTTTCAATCTATCGCTCCGTATCTTTAAATATTCAACGCTTCCCATGTGGATTTAACAGGCGTTGATGGAATTTACACCCGAAATATCGCTTTTCTTCTGTATTTCTAAGGAATGAATTCGAAGAGGAGAGAAGCAAAGGGAGACTCGCCTCCCTCTTCGAACCAAACAATACGACGTTTATTCTCTGGAGGAGCTGCTTTCGAGAATTTACGAGTTTCGTGGGTCCGACGATGAATGGAATCGAACACAGGCAGCTGAGAAACTCTCGACTTTGTATTTTCAATCCGTGGATCTTGACTTTATACACCCCCTATTAACCCTTGTTCCACGATCCATCCAGCGTCCAGTACAGGTAGGTCTCGATTAGTGCGAGTAATAAATCCCATACGATTCGAATATTTGAAATATAGGTGCATTCCTATATTTCCTATATTTCAAGTATTCAAATAGTACAAATTCAAATAATGCGACAAATTTCTGGGATTTATTACTCGCACTAATCGAGACTTACTATATTTCCTTTGAAAATTGAACATATAGGGTGTCCCAGAACTGGGGTAGAACCCATGGAGGGATGATCGCTGGGGTCATTCTAAACAACTTTTTCCTTTGCCAAAATGTTGGTTGAGGCTTAGTTTTCGAGTTATTAACGAAAAACACTGGCCAATCAGAGCGCGCCTTTAGCGCGAGCCAATAGTAATAATAGTAATAATTCAATACTATTATTCTTCTCTATTTTTTATTCATTATTCGATTCAACTTTTGCTTAACGAATCCTATTACACCGACGTGGTGCCGATGCACTTGATCACGACCACGGTTTGAACGCAGAGCATACCGAATTGAAATAATTAATTCCGCCTCCACTAGACTCTCGGCGCATGCGTAAGCGCGGCGCTCGTCAGCGGCAGGAGGCTAGTCTCCCACTCCGCGGGTCTTGCCACTGAAGCTGCACGCTGATTGGTCAATTTTTCAATTTTCAACAACGAAATGTGGCTAAACTACTGATCCCATCGAAAAATGCTACAGAACTTTTCACTTCGATTTTTCGTGATCTATCCAGCGGTGTACAGGTTTTCAGGGTATTTTTTTAACACCCTGTATATTTCATATGTCTGACTATATAGCGGGCTGATCTACTGACTTGTTCTACTTCTAATCTTTATTCTACTTAACAATTGCTCAAGTACATTCGCGATGAAATGAAACGCTTTGTTGAGTTGTAATTCCCGAAATTCAATGGTGTAGCCATCCAAGGAACAGCAGAGACAAAGTTGCTGGTTAATTTGAATACTGTCAGCTATCCAGAATAAATCGTCGAAAGGGGAATGACAGACGCGAGACGGTAGGCAGTAAACCCCCGCGAAGTTAGTAGATAATTTCCGCGGATGTTCGAAATTAAAAAAGTTTACCTCCGACGAGAGGATTTCCGCGTTTCTTCTGCTAACGTTAATCGTCCACCGTTCCCTTATCTTTTACCCCAACTAACGTTCTCCTTTTTTTGTCTTCTCCGTTTACCCTCTACGGCTTGGCGAGAGAGCAGAATACACGGAAGAAAATTCAAGTGCTACCTGACAGCCGGAGAAGGGAATCTGAATTGCTTATGGCGTCCCATCCCATACTCGAATGCCCATTTTCATTGAGATATTCCGAGGAACTCAAGCTGGAATAATTGAGTCGTTGAAAGACTTGGAATCAATGGAATAAGTGATAAATTAGATTAGCAATTAAATGAAATTTCACGAAAGAAAAAATTATCATGGTCATAGAGAAAAATTATTGACTCGAATAATGAAAATTTCTATAATTCTAACCGTGTAAAATTTTCTGATTGACTTTTCAACGCCGACAAGTTTATTAGAACACGTCAACGTAGTAATTATTGCCAGTTGAAATTAGTTGTTGTAAGTTTTATAATAGATGTCGCAGGTTGATGTTACTTCGAATGACAATAAATTGCTTATGGTTGTACTGTGTTCATAATCGATGGAAAAAAATGGCAAGTTGGCTGTGGAATGAGATAATTAGAATCGGGTGGACGTTCTTTACTTTCACCCATGGTTTACGTAACGGAATGGAAAGGTTAGTGTTCAACACCGGCGAGAAAAGAAGCCATACCAGCCGCGATGCTCTTTCGCGATTAACTCTCTTCGTGTCTCTGCTCGTTTCTGGCTTTTGTTACCGACTTTAATACCTTCATCATTTAACGAAATTGGATCGAGATAGCGAACACCGTAGCGCCATTTCGTTCCTATGTTTCCTCTTTATCAGTTACTTTCATTTAACATCCGTATCAAATACATTATACAAGATACTTGAATTATTCGTGAGAACTTTTTATAACACTTTCGTGTCTCCTAGGATAGACACACAGTGTTCTATTGAAAGGTATCGTAGCCAAAGTGCTATTATTAAATTTAGCCTCGTGTATCTATTGGTTATTGGTAACCCATGACATTCAATGCCATCATGGAACGCAAAAGAATTTACTCTATAGGGTGTTGAAATAATTCGGGTCAAGAGCATGTGTCAGGTGTGGAAATTCATTTAATATGATTGAAAATACTCTGTAGACACATAGCCGGGATAAGTATGACATATTTTTCACCATTTTTCTAAATCCTCGAAGAGACACGTTGCAAGTGTGGTGTCTTGTTCTCTTCAGATTCGAAAGCAGTGTACACGTCTGTCCTCCATTACGATAAGAAAAATATATGGTCATCGTAGATACAAGAGCGATTTATTTCGCGAAATAAGAAGGGAGGAGCTACCTCGGTGAAATCCATTCTTATGTGAACGCTTCTTATCCTCCTGTGCACGTGAACACGCTACAACCCTGTATCGATCCTTTTTTCCTTTTTTATGTTACACTAATGTAGCTGTAAAAAAAGAAGGTAGAAAATAGGAAAGATTAAGGAGCTAATAACATTTTCAGCATGGAGCGATATTGTATTAAATTAATATATAAAAATTGACGATGATGACTGAAGAAATATCAGAAATTGAAAATGATAATGGATGAGTGTCTAGGGAATTTTTCAAAATATCCCGATAATATTCCGATGATGACTGAAAAAATATCAGGAATTGGAAATGATAATGGATGAGTGTCTAGGGAATTTTTCAAAATATCCCGATAATATTCCGATGATGACTGAAAAATTATCAGGAATTGAAAATGATAATGGACGAGTGTCTAGGGAATTTTTCAAAATATCCCAACAATGGTGGGAAAGTAATGAAGTAAAAGAGAACGATATAGAGTGTGAGAAGTGACGTTAATTGAGTTTGAATTACCTGGAAGTAAATTGAATGAAATTAACAGGTGAGGGAGAGAGAAAAAAATTGCGATTTCGTTTTGTTGGCTCCGGATTAGAACATCGGATATCGTCGCGTTAATCGTTATGGAACGTCTCTAGGGAGTTCTTCCTCTTCCGTAACTGTGCGAGATCACGCGTGCATCGGGGAAAATTAAATTCACGTTCGCTTCAATTCGACTCGATGGCTTTCGATAGTTTCTGTAGTCTAATATTCGTAACAGGGATTAGCTGACTGTTGCTAGAATTTAAAGTAAAAATTTATCTTGATGATTTTCTACTTTTAAATTTTCTACCCTTAAAATCGAACATTTGTGAGAGAAATCTTATTACTATATCAATTTTGCTAAAGGTTAGATTGACAAAGTGTAAAGATGAAATTTGATAAGTTAAATTCGATGCAGTAATTAAATCAAGGAACGAGCGTCAATTCCCGAGGAAACTTAGATTATCCATTAAACTGAAGAATTAATATAGTTACGATTAAGTTATCTTTTGATATTGCCACGACGTTATCGTCACGGAATGAAACGTTGAAATCCATTGAAATTACCTTTATTAAATAAGAGGGGTGAAATGTGCTGGAATCGTTAATTTAATCATCGGTTTCCATTAAAATCCAGTATTAAACGCTTAAACGTAACGGAGCTTTCAGAGGCTGAACAATTCCGAGATCGATCATTAAAATTCAGCGTTGCCAACGTAACGAAAAAAGAGAGGGAGCAGGGAAAAATATCGATTTTCACAGAGGAATCGTTAAATTTTTCCAGCAAAATTAATTCTCTAATTGTGCTGTCGATCTCTCTGGTTCGGTAGAGGAAAAATCAACCCAACTCGTTTCATCGGTTCCGAGTATAACAGTAATTAAAACTCAACTTTAATTCACTGATATTTTGTTCAGATTAATTAGTTACAAGTATTTGTTTCACAACGATCGAGTTTTATTGAAAAAAATTCATTAAAGATCCTTTTAATTAACCCCTATCTCAACAAATCATTCATGATCTAAAACTCAACGAATTTACATCGAAAGGAATCAGCAAACCGTTTCAAAAGATCCTCGAATCAACCCCAACGTTAAAATCGAGCAAACCCACCCCTCTGTATGTCCAACATAACAAATCGCACGCACGGAATCGCGTAAGTGGCGGGAACAAACCCGACTGTGGTCTCGGCGACGATAAATTAATCAAGCATCCCCGACGATCCACGCAAGGATCTTGACTTCCGTCGCGCAGAGAGCTGCTCGAAAGAGGGAGGATCGATCTTGCCTCGGGCTAGAAACTACGGAATAACCGGTATCATCTTGTAGGAGAGGAAGGGTGGAAGAGAACAAATGTTGTCGCGAGAGGGTGGCCCGCATCTGTGACGGTTTAGGGTAAAATCGGGGATACTAGTGGCCATTTTGGGGTTGTTCCTTTAATATATGGAAATATAGAAATATGGAAACTGAAATGTTTTTTTTTTTAATTTAGATATACTATTTTCCATGATTTTATCTGTTAATAGGTTGAACCTGAAAAGGAGTTGTTTTACAAATTTAAAAAAAAAAACAGAAATCTGAAAAATTAATACTCTAAAGATCTCCAAATCATTTTTTATTGAAAGTAGTAAAGGAAAATAGTGAAAGTAAGGTGGTAGTAGAAGAGATTGGTAGCGTCTTGAGGCCATCGCTAGAAGTAGACTGTCGAGGAAGGGTGGTCCTTGTATTGATTCACAACTCCACCCTCTCCTGTCCTATTCGAACCCCTGCAACCAGCTTGAGGGGCGAGCAGAGGGATGAACGAGAGGGAATGGGAGTAAAGTGGGAAGGGAAGACGGCAGTCAACCCTCTAAACATTGGCGTGGGATGTCGAACTATCGCATAAATTAGTCTGCAACGCCTTTTGTAGCGGACAATTGTGTTTCTCTCTTGTCTTCTTTTTCTCTTTTCACAGTTAGAAATACTAAAATGTGGGTTGAGCTGTACCACGATGAAAGCCCCTTTGTATCGCGAAAACGTTCTTAATTGATCATTATGCAATCTTTTTTACACTTTTTCTAATATTAGGAATATTTTAAAAGTTTGACAAATTTCCATCGTTTTTAATTAAAACATTTTCTCTCTTTGAAGATGTATACTATGATAGGAGAAAATTATTAATTTTTAATGGAGCTTTCACACCTTCTATATTTACAATTATTTTCTAGAAAATAAACATTCATAACAATGCTTTCAACGTTTTATCGAAATATAAATCACGTGAAGTATTCATCAATACTATATTCTTACAAATTATTGAACATATAAACCACTCCTATTCAGCCATTCTACAGGCTCCTATTTCACTTCTGTCAACATCAATCGATCTCCATATCCAGTGGAAAGGTAACAAAATACGAAATATTAAACAACCCTCCACCACTCTGCTATCGAAGCTCGTAAATTCGAAAGTAGAGGGGGGAAAAAAAAGAGTAGCAGGTTATCGAGCGAACTTTTTTTCTCGCGTTTTCGTTACGTTCGCGAAAATTTGCAGGCTGAAGCCGGTGAGGGTTAGCGGCGATTTTCATCCAGAACTCACCCCTTTTTCGCTTCCGGACGAATGCAACCGAGGAGGGATAAGTAGCAGCGAGAATCGGAAAAGGATTTAGTCGGAGCGAATCCGGAACGGGCGGAATTATTGTGCAGATCCCGAGGACCTTCCTCCCTCTCCCTCTTTCAACCCTCTTTTCCAAAGACGCTTCTCTTCGTCCCTCTCTCTCCACCATGCCTCTTCTATCCCTTTTGGATACGCAACCGTACGGTTTAACGAGACACAGCTCTCGCTAATGATGCTAATTATCGGCTCGAATTGTTTCGTTTGAGAGGATCGTCCTTGGGAATATTTGATCGACCTGAAGGACCAGTGTAGGCTGGATAATACGAAGGAAAATTATTTTTTATCCGTTTTTAAAGCCTGTTCCTGAGGGTAATGATGAAATCATCCTTTTTATAAAATTTTACCGTTTCTATATTTTCTATTTTATCAAAGTACCTAGTACAAAGCGTAGAAATTTCAATGATATCCTAAATAGCTGTTTCGATTGAAAACTCGTCGGGTATTTGCTGCTTCAGCGGGTCAAATACGCTTCGAGATGTGATCGCGCGTAAAACGCGTGTACATCCTGAACGAATCCAAACCTTTTTTCCTGGTTGAACGAGTACGGAGCGTAAAACGCTCGGTTCGCTCGATTGGACGCTCATTTAACGCCTAATCAGACAACAGTCTTGCCTTCGTATGCTCCTCTTCTTTCTCTCGAATGCAACACTGCTCCTTTTGTTTCGTCTGTTTTATATAAATAATATTAAAACAAAAAATGTCAAATGCAGAAGAAATTTTTATACCGTTGAATTTTTATATCGGCGAGAAATCTCGGATCTCGGATCCTCTTGAGTGATTTTTGTCGTATCGTCACGTACACGCTCGTGGCTGAGGCATAATTATTTAGCCACGATCACGAACCGATAATAACGAGGCGACGAGCTAGCCGAATCAGCCGAAAACAAGCCACTCGTGTTTTCCCTCGCGTTCGCTCTTTCCAGGCGACCTCGTGTGTACACCAAGGCCAAATCAGGAACAATGCGTGTTCGAAGTCGGTCGTGGTTGGTTTTATCGTTGGCGATACAGGAGCCAGGAACACGTTGGGGACACGAGTTACCACGGCTTGACTCGATTTTCCAGATGCTCGAAGGCTTATTAAGGCCAAGTGTCATTCGGAGCAGCGACTTCCTTCTTCCTACCCCTTCGAACGAACCACCCTTCCTGAAATTCGGTGATTTCCTTGGTATGCTCACCTGAATTTCTTCCCTTCATCCCTTACTGCCTACACCGAAGCTTGATTGGCTGCCTCCTTAAAGAGAGAAATGGGGTTGAAACAATGGGGATGATTACAAGTATCTTCTATGATTCCCTACTTACCATTTTTACCTAATTTTGTTTTTAATTTTAAACAGTAACTTCTATCGAAAGAAATTCCAACAGTTCCGTCACGCTACAGAAACGCAAACTATTTCCTTTTCCGTTTCCCCTCTTCGTCATTCATCCAGCTCTTCATTTAACGCGAAGAGGAGTAAAAAAAGGGGTAGCAAGGGGAAAGAACGATCTCTCTTCTTCCGCAAACAGAATTCCTTTTGTCCCGTTCCTCTCGGTTATTATGTACTTTAATTAACAGAAAACACGGATCTCCTTCCTTCTTCTTTTCGATCCATTTCTTTCCCTGTCTTCCTGTTTGACGGATGAAAAAGACGAATTCTTCTTTTTCTTTTCTTTTATTTCCCTCCGCCCGTATTACTTTCAATTAAATTGTCCACGAATCTCATTAAACTCCGTCCACGAGCAAACTTTCTTCGCGGACGTCGTCGACGGTGTTCATAGTTTCTCTTTCATTTCGTTTCTCTCTTTATTTCCACGCTTCCCTTCTTACGTTTCTTTTGCCGCGATTAAGTCTTTCATTGCTGTTGCCAACTATAGCCTCTTTAAATATTCAATTATCCCGAAACTATAGGCGTTCAAGAAGTTATAAATTATCAAGATTATTAATATTGTTCATAATTTATCACTGTTCCTTTTTCTCCTTTGTACTTGGAGCGGGTAAAGGGTTAAAAAGTGGCGTGTAAAACCGACGAACGAGCCACTTCGAATTGATTGGCTTCATCGAGCGAGTCGAAGAAAAGGATCCTTTCGTTCCCTTTTGTCCCATGGGAAGGACTTCTTTTTCCATCGGTTCTTTTATTTCTTCGCGACTGCCAATTTGCCCGGCACTTCAGCACCGCTGCTTCGCCCTCTTACACAGCAGCCCTTTTTTTTCATATTCGCTTAGTCCCTTCGTCCTTTGACGCGGCTCCTTTCGCGAAGGATCCTCCTGGATTGATCCTTTCGTTCTGAACGAGAGAACTCGACGTGCTGCCGCATTCCTTAAACCCTTTCAGAGATGCCTCGCCCATTCGAATTATTTCATTTTATCATAACACTGTGTAGCTTCATCAGAATCGTTATTTTAATCCTTGCGTTAAACAATTGACTGCCCATTTTCATATCGAGATCAAAAAATTTGTTACGTTCCTGTTGGAATTTTTTAAAGTTATTTATAATTGAAAGATAATTCGCCTTATAAAAAGCTACCACCCCCGCGAACCATTGTAATCCATTCCCCTTCGTTCGTCGAGTGAAATTTAATTGAAAACCTACGCGTGATTCTTGTTATTTAATAATTCATTAGCGTGAAATACAATCGACTACGTTCCTGGCTTAACTCTGAATATTTCATCACGGTATTTTCATGGTAAATTACAAGTAATAAACATCGAGTATCTGTGTCTTGTAAAAGCAACCGTTTAATCTCGCAATAAAATTAATATTATTGAAACATGTTGCCATTTGGCAGAAATTAACGCGTTATAATAAATAGGATAAAAAAAGCTAACGGGACGACTAATTTCTTTTTTTTTTTTTTTTTTTTCGTGGAGGAAATCTTCAATAAGACACCTCCAGCCCCTCCGGGGAGGTAGTGTGGGATTCTTACCCACTGAAACCTCCACGGTGGCCTGCACTGGGGCTAAAGAAGGGCCCCGGAACTAGAGGTGTGCGAGTACTCATAGTTTACTAGCCGAGCTGAACTCGCTTCGATTGTTGGA